ATCCAGACTTCATGACTTGATTAACAATGAATCACAGATGTGAAAATAGATGGAGATAGTGTAGCAGTGATAGAAATCAGCACGTGTGCATCAAAGTATTCCATAGAGTGTATCACTGCTACAATTTTTTTTTTTTTTTTTTTTTTGAAAAAAAAAAAGTAAGAGGAGATGACACAAAATTATAAAGGCTAATATTATGATACACACTCTACAAAATTATAACATTTGTGGTTTTGATTACCACAAATATCATAATTCAATATTACCGGAGTCATAACTTTAAAAAATAATGAGTTATAACCAAATATTACTTAAGGTATAATTAAAGAATTCTTGGATCATAACTCATAAACCAATATCACAATGAGTCATAACTGATATCACAATAGATCATAATCAATGACCATAAAAGGCATACCCAATTGTGCATTATGGTACTATAAAATTTCTCAATTAAGATTTTTTTACTGATTTTTATAAATATTGTGTTGTATTTAATTTAGGAATTTTTTTTTTCCACATAATGCAATCTTACATTATATTATATCCGTGAAAAGATTTTTTAAACAAAAAAAATCTCATAATTATATGAATACTATTATGTGTTACTCTACATAAACTTTACCATGAGTTATTGCTCGTAACTTACATAATCAAAGTGCATCTATATGGTATTTAATACACATCTAAGAGTTTTTCATTTTTTTTAAATGTTTAAATTCTATGACTTTCATTCTCTTATGTGAAATTTATATTTTTTAAAACAAGATCAATAACTAAGACAAAACTCTGTTAAAAGAATTGCGATTTAAAGGGAAAAAAAAAACTTTTTCAAATTTTAGAAATTACAAATGCAAAAAAAAAAAAAAAAAAAAAAAAAACCATTTCCATATACAATATGGATATTATTTAATAGATTTAAATGAGTAGATATATATATTATAATTATATATATATATAATATTATAAAAATTAATGTGTATAACAAAAGTTATGTCATTTTAATTGAGAAAAAAAAAGAAGCTAACTTAACAACTCAATAACATCGTTGACGGAGTAAATTATTTAGTACTTTCAAAATATCACGTAATATTACTCATGTGGTACTTTAAATAATAATAACGTAAAAAATTATTAATTAGAGATAATATTGACTCACATATTTAAGGGAAATTTTTTTTTAAGATCTCTGATGTTAAGATTTTATAAGATAAATGACATAAACATTTTCACAGAGAAATTCGATTCAGAAAAAAATTTTCCGACTCAGAGAAATTTCTCTATGATCACACTAGAGAAATTTTTCTCTGTGAAATTGAAATTTTTCTAAGTTGGAGTCGAAATTTCCTGAGTATGGCAAAATTTTTGAGTCAAATTTTCTCTGTTGAAAATATTGAAAGACCTTAATTAATAAAGAAAAAAAATCTTAGACTCTTCTAATACATAAAGTTAGAGAGAAATGTTTCACTATTTTTCATTTTTTTAAGATAATTGGTAGATATAAAGGAGAATTCACCTTGTATGTTTTAGTGGTTTTAAGACCCCATAATACTCTAAAATTATCAAATAATTTTCCATTATGACGTAATTTTGGGAGGACTTTAAGGCCACTCATAATCCCTAATTTCATAACATATTTACCAAACCCAACCAAACATCCTCATCTATCTCAACTGATCAATGCCATATACTTCTCTCCTCCCAGGTTCTCTCTCTCATCATCGTCCTCGTCACGGGTCGCTACTTGGCCTAATCAGCCACAAACAAACAACAAAATGAAGCAAAAAAAATTACGAAAAAAGAGAGAGGAATAGATGATGTTGGTGAGAACAAAGTGGTGACCGATTGTGGTTTGTGATTTTTGTGTTGCTTTTCACGGCGGCACGATGTGTGATGATTTGGTGGCGAATTTAAAAAAAGAGAGGATTTAGTTATGTAATGTAAAATTGTAATTTTGTTATGATATAAAATGGTAATATTGTAATTTTATAATGTCCCTTAGCACTGTCCAGTTCATTGTTATTATAACAAAGATTAGTATAATTATTTAAAAATATAAGACTAATTATAATATTTCTTTAAGTTTCAAAGAAGATCAAAATTCAATTTATTTATTTTTTAACGTCACATAAAAATAAAATAATGCCATGCCCTAAATATTAAATTTAATTTATCTTATATATTGTCATTGTCAATAACGAGGTTTATAATCTAATCTATACTTTCAAAAAGTAATTTTTTTTTTTTTTTTTTGAAAAAATAACAGTCTAGTTGTAACAGAATTTTTTTTTACAAATCATTGATAAAAATTTATACACTCTAATAATTAAAAATGTTTTACTTTTTTTATGATTTTGTAATTTTTCTTGAACCCCGCTACAGACCCGAATATAGGAGCTCGAATTTAGATCAAAATTAGGGGGAAGAAGAAGAAGGAGGAGGAGAAGAAGGAGAAGAAGAACTGGACTGAGAGGCCAACAAAATAGGGCAGAGGCGGAGGTGGAGGCGGAGGTGCAGCGGAGGCGGCGCGGCGGAGGCAAAGGTGCAGGCGGGCCTGCGATGCCGACGAGCGACGAGCGACGAGCTGCGACGATCGCCGACGAGCTCGACGACGATGACGACGACGACTTTGTTTTTCTCTCTCGCTCTGCTTTTCTCCTATGTTCAACGAAGAATAAGAAAAGGAAGAGAAAGAAAAGAAGGAAAAAAAAAATTGAAACCTAAAACGACGTCGTTTTGCGGTTTCGAATCAAATTCGAGCCCCTAATTTCAGGCCCTCAAACATTATTCTTTTTTTTTTTGTGAAACATTAGTCTTAAAGTCTCTCTCCTATTTTTAGTAATAGAAAAGATTCACAATATTATTTATGATGTCTAAGGTCCCTCAACCCGATCACCCATATATTACAGAGAAATTTGACTTGTAAAATCAAAACCTCTTTCTCTCTCTATCTTCTCTATTTCGTCTCCCTCTCTCTCTCTAAATCCAAACCTCACTTCACTCCTTTCAATGGTCGCCGCCTCCGCCTCCATTGCCGTGAGACTGGGTGACCGCAATCCACAACCCCAATCAACAACTCGGACATGATTGTCACATCATCTCGCAACAAATCCCTCATAGTCTGGAACCTCACCAAGGAAGACAGGATCTACACCTCCCATGCCGCCGCCTCACCGGCAACTCTTTGAAGACGTCGTTCTCTTTCTGACGGCCAGTTTTCTCTCTCTGGCAACTGCTCCGCTCTGGGACTTCTCCACTGGCATCACTACTCACCATTCGTCGGCCACTCCAAAGACGTCCTCTCCGTCGTTTTCTCCTTCGGTAATCGCCAAATCATCTCGGCTTCCCGCGAGCTGTTCGATCAAGCTCATGGACCTCAAGGTGTCGTTTGAATCCGTATTTTAGTCCATGAATTACAGAGTGCAGTACTCCTCATAACATTTTGAGTCATTTAGATTTGAGTTAAAATTTTAGGAATAATATTGGAATCTGTATCTCGGATGACTTTGAGGCCTCTGCTAATCCCAAATTCCTAATGCTCGCCTCCTTAGTACGAACATTGAGCCAACACCTATTAATTTTTCTGTTGTGTATCAATTTTCTTTGAATTTCTCTGCTTTGAACTTAGAGAATTTCAATTTTCTCTGAGTAATTTTTCTGTCCTGTTTAATTTTTCTATGTTGTTCAATTTTCTCTGGTTTAAACTCAGAGAAATTCTTGGAAGCCCAAAATTTTTCTAGAGAGTATTTCTCTGAGAAGAAATTTCTCTGGATCAATGTTGAGGACCTTAGAATTATAAAAATATTAAATATCATTTATACTATGAAATCTTAAAATCGGGGCCCTAAAAAAAATCTCATTTTTTTTCTTGTTTCATTTGGAGTGTTTGTTTCAGCTTTTCAAAGTCAACTTATTGACTTTAGCTTTGAAAAAGTTATTTTGGACTGTTTGTGTTAAATTATTTCAAACAGCTTCTGATTCTAACAGCTTTTATTTAACTCACAAAAAAGCTGATTCTGAGAAGCTGCTCACCCATTGCTTCTGATTATCACTTCTGCTATGGACATGTTAATCTCTC